CAATTATGGAGAATTGTCTGACAACTTGTAACCTAAGTTCCTGAGAAATCATAAGAGTTGGCAGTATGAGTTCCATCTATGTTCAAAGGGAAGTGGAGACAGATGTCAAAGCTTAAAAGCCAATGATCAGGCAGAGAAGACTGTTCTCTCCTGTTCGTTTATTTTTGCTTGTTTGTTCGGTTGGTTGGTTTTTTATTCTGTTCCAGTTCTCAAGGGATTAGATGAGCAAAGTCAACACTGGGAAAAAGCAATAAAATATTTACCTCATTCTTAAATAGCCTCTACAGATACTCAGAATAGTATTTGACCAAAACCTGTGGATCGAGTGTACCAGTTAAGTAGACACACAAGTGAAACGTCATACATTCATCTCAATATACGTCCCACAGCAGTTTTTCTTCATATTCCACTGACATGACACTGGCTACCCATGATTGGCTTACACAGTTTCCTTAGATCTATAGTTGAAGACAGAGAAAAAGAGAGAGAGAATGCAGGTTGGGTACATAAGCAACACATGCATTATGTGTCCTTGTATTTTTCTAGAGAAAGACTCTTCTCCTATAGCCCAGATTGACCTCAAACTTAGGGCAATTCTTCTCACATCAGCCACATCAACAAATGCTGGGATCACAGGCACATATGGGCTACAGGCATGAGATGCCGTAGAGAAACTCTTGTCAATGTAGAGAGAATGCTGTAGTTTTAGGAAGAAAAAGGACAATGATAAAAAGCCTTTTCTAATGAGATACAATTTAAAACACCACAACACAACAAAGGACACAAATTCTAAATTCTAGCACAAGATTAATAAAAATAAGTGATTTCATGAACTATTAGGTGGCATTCCCTCCATGAAAGTCCCTTTCTCACTAACATGACTTTTCTCTTTTGCTCTCTGTTTGCCTTTTGTGTTCCTTCCTGTGAGGAGAGAGCAAGGCTGCTAGTCTTAGTCTTTGAATTATCAAACAAGTAAGTCCTGTGTCTTTCCAGATAGCAAGGATCCCTGTGACCAAGCGCTCTCTCTGCCTCATTTGACTGGTTTGACAATCTCCAGCTGGAGGTTATGAACTTGTTTATGGCTTAAGGATTCTCGTGAGCTTTCTGTAACTGGTATTTGGAGCAGAGGTGAGGAGGTGTGAAAAGACAGCATTCTGTGTTTCACTGTGATTTCACAGATTCTGTGTCCTACAGCACGTTCTCTTTCCTTGATGGGCTCCAACCCAGACAACGTAGGCTGAGGGCTGGGCTTCTGTGTCTCAGATTCATTTCTCATACCACACTTTTCTATCTCTTTTTCTGATGCCTGTTCTGACCTGGCCCACTCTCCATGCATCCCTTCTCTAGCTTTTGTGAGGTTCCCTCTCAGAAGGGATCCTGATTTCTTCATTTTTTTTTCATTCTTCATTTTTTTTTTCTCCCAGGACGTTGTGTCTTAAAGCCTATTCTCCCATCAGAGGGAGCTTTTCTGGTTCTGTTTTCGAGTACCCCTGCCCAACCAGAATGTCAATACTCAGCTTTCCTTGGTCAAATCCAACTCCTAAAATCAGGGTATCAATATGCACACTCTCCCTGGACCTACTCGCTAACCCTTTCACTTCAACTAATAATGTGCAAACCGAAATAAGCACACCGTTATAGTCTTTCACAAAGAATGGCTGCATTCTCTTCCCATAGGAATCTTACCAAGCTTATTGTGGAGAGAGAGAGGAACCATTACTCAAAATTAACATTGCAAGTTAGGTAATGATATCTAGTCTATTCCTTCGACGGTGGGAAATGATTATTTAATTTCAAAATTAACCATTCGTTTTACAATCAACACACATGTTTGTATAAGGACAGATAATAGCAAGTAAACGTCTAACGTTAACTCTGACTAGAGGGGTTATAAATTACTAGAGATATTTTTACTGATTTTATTTTCTGATTCTCTTGCTGTGTTTAGAAATCACTGCTAGGCTGGGAGGTGGCTCGGTCAGTGATGTGTTGTCCTTGCAAACTCAAAGTAAAAAGCAGGATATGATGGGAAATGTTCGGGGTCCTAGGACTGGGGAGATGGAGACAAACAAATCTCTGACGCTCACTGCCTAGAAAGTTTTTACCACGTGGTAAAGCCTGTGCTGGTGAGAGACGCTGCCGCAAAAATTGGCAATGGACAGAACCTGAAGAATAATATCTGAGGTTGTCCTCTGGCCTCAAGAGATACATATGACATTCCCCCCACCCCACCCCCATGTACACTCACAGGTGTACCTCCAAACATACATGCACTTACACAGGTATGTACACATACAGCACATACACAAACAAAGGAGATACCATGAAGCTTGAAGCCCACAAGCAAACAGTATTTGTGCTCAAGATTCTGTTTTGTGGGTTTTTTTCTCTTTTTTACTATTATCATTTATTATAATTTATTCAATTTGTATCCTGGCTGTGGCCTCCTCCCTCATCTCCTCCCAATACCATCCTCCCTCTTTCTTCTCCCCCTATCCCCCGCCCCCAGTGTACAAACCTACAGGTGGGCAAGCCAAACCACAGCACATAATAAAGAGGATTTCCCTATCTGCGTGTGCCTTTGTGAAAATGTTAAGTTACGTGATCTGTATGGCAAAAACAACTGGCCACTATCTTCTAAAGGCACTCTTCATGTTAATATGTGTCATGTCTTTCCAGCTGCACGTTTATAAGCCAGAAGTCTAATATTACATCAGGATGTCCTTTCTGGTATCTAACCCGGCCAAGGTAGATTGTGTTGGCTTCAATAAGAAATGATGAACACCTGTTCACCATTATTTACTCATCGATATCCTTTCAAAAGCTGCAGGGCCTCCCTGACAGGCTCCTGTTTCAGTTCTCTTCCTGTTCATTGTTCACTCATGACTCTACCTTCTCCAGTTTCCCCATCGCACAAGTCCCCATGAGGTTCTAAAGACAATGCATTGCTTTTGTGAGGAGTTGGCCAGGCTGACGTGTGGTGCGAGCGCCTTGCCTCCCAACTGACCCCAGTGTGCTCCTCAGCATGGTGGATCAGCCTCTGCAGTATCAGCTGACAGTGGCTTCTCACAATTGCCATGGGTGCTCAGAAAGGTTGAAAGTACCCCCACATTCATAGTATGGGTCAAACCATACAAACTCTAGAGGAAAAACGCCTTTACGTTTATTCTAATGATGGAATTTGATTAAGTATATTAAGCACATTTTCAGATATTAGCTTGCCAGTAGCTTCCATTCACACAATTTTCTCCATAAGGTACATTTCTTTCAGGATGCTTTCTCGGAATCTTAGTAAACAGCTCTGCTGGGAGGGACCAACATCTTCCTCCTACAAAGAACAGTGGGTTCTCTGCCACTGCACTCCAAGTCACTAGACAGAGAGTAAAACATTATGGAAAAACACACCTAAGATCTTAATAACAAATGCTTTCCAAGCGTGGTGAAGGTTCTATGTGGGTGATTTCCTGTCTAAGCATTCTGCCAACTTTGACCTTATTAAATTTTCTACCCATTATCTAACTGGTTGACTATATTCTTTCTTGTGGATTAATATCTGAAGTTGAATTTTTCTCTACCTGTATTCTTATTTCCACATCTAGATCTTAGCACTATTTCTTTGTATCTAGTCCAGGAAGTACCTTCAGGATGCATTTGATTAAAGTTCATTGTGTTTGAGGAGGGCGCCTCATTCAGCATAAGGCTCGCAGAGGAAACTGTGAAGCAATGATCTGTAGCACTGTGCATTCAGAATAAGAAAAGGAATTCTTCTAAGAATGAAGTTTCACGGGACTGGGAAAATAGCTCAGTCAGTAAATCACTTGCCTTGAGTCATGAAGACTTAAGTGAGATTCTCAGAACCAGGTAGAGAAAACAACAGCAACAGATGTGGTGTGGCCCATGTTTGTAATCCCTGTGCTGGGGAGGGAGCAGATCCCTTGGTATCCCTAATGGTAATTGTGGATCCAGGAGCCAAACTCAGCCTTTTCTCCCTCAAGCTGCTTCTTGTCAGGTATTTTGTAACAGAAATGAGAAAAGTAACTAATACAGTGCTCAGAGGTGTTGGTATGGATTGACCCTGATGGAAAAACAAACATATGCATTCATAAAGATAGAACAGAGATGGAGGAAATGTCCAACCAATGCCTGGCCCATCCTGAGAGCCACCCCTTGGAAGAGAGCCAACTCCTGTCACTATTAATGATATTCTGCTCTGCTCAGACCGGAGCCTGGCATAGCTGTACTCTGAGAGGCTCCACCCAGCAGCTGATCGAAACAGATGCTGAGACGTACAGTCAAACATTGGGCAAAAAGTGGGGGGAAGGACAGAAGGACCTGGAGGTGACAGGACCTCATAAGAAGACCAACAGATCAACTAATCAGGGCTCAGAGGAATTAAAGCACCAACCAAGAACCATGCATAGACTAGTTCTCCTACACAGATGTAGCTGATAGGCAGCTCAAGCTTCATGTGGGTTACCTAGTAAGGGGAGTGAGAACCATCTCTGACATGGACTGTTACCTGCTTTTTTATCACTTACCCCCTGGCGGGACTACCTCCCTAGGCCACAGGGAGAAGAGGATTAGCTCAGTCTTGATGGAACTTGATGATCTGCGGTGAACTGGAGAAGTCCCTTTCCCTGAGGTACAGGGGAGGGAGAATGGGTGGAAAAGGAAGATGGGAGACCAGGAGAAAAGGAAGGAGGGACTATGATCTTGATATAAAGTGAATAAATTAAAAAAAAGCTTTAACAAGAAAGGAAAAAAAAAGTAACAACAAAATGCAGTCACTTTCAATTAATCCCTTTATTCCTGACCCAAAAAATTCATAGCATGTCCCAAGTAATACCTAAGGAACTACATGCACATGAAAAACAAATAGTGTCAATATTGGTTACATCTGAGGACTGAATTATGAGTGTTCTTAATGTTATTTCACGATTTTATGTTTTTTTTCCCCAACTACTCTGCCATAAACACATACTGATATCCTCCGTGAGAAGATGGATGAGAAGTACAACTTTTCGTGGTCAAGTTTAAAAGCTGAGTAAGTTGTTTTTCTGAGGCTGAATCTAGAAGTAACTATAAAATCAGAAGTGTAGAGGTCAGTTCCCATAAAGGAGTACAACAAATTGGTTCAAAGCCCACACAGGGTTTTCTACAGGATTCAAAGCCATCAAGTTCACAGTGTTATTTAAGAATAGATATTTTCTATGACAAAAAAATAACTTTTTTCTTTATACACCTATTAATATAACTCAAAAGAAAACAGTGCATTTTTAAAACATATGAGGTGCTATTCATATAAATAGACACAGCCAGCAACAGCCCCATTCTTTCATTTAAAACCATCAAGTATAAACAGATCTTAATATCCAAAGAACACTTTAGGTCAGCTGCTCAATGTGGCCCAAGAAAGTATGTGCTTGCAAAATCTCTTCCGTAGATTGCAATCTTCTTGCGTTATTGTTAACAAGATTTGCCACTTAATATAAACCAGCACCCTAACAATAAAGGACTTTGTGGCATTCAAAAGAAAAGGGCAGTTTTAGAATGTGATCTGGAAAAAAAAAAAAAAGGCATCTGCAGGGACTCCAACTGTTTTGTCTTGTTTTGATTTTAGTAACTTCCACAGTCAGTGTTTGGGGGTGAAGGGGGGCAGCTGCATTGCAGAGCTCAAACTTGTGAGCTCCAGGAGCAGTGTGTATACCTTGAGTGCATAGAAATTGAAAACGCTGCCCTGCAAGGAGGAGCAAAGTACGTGACCTCCTAGGCTTCCTCAAACTTCTGTGGAACCACAGTCTGGCAAAGAGACTTTCTGAGGGTCACTTCCTAATCATCACTGGTGTCACCAGACATGATTTCTGCCCCAGTGGTTGGATTCTTTATGAGCAATTAAATGATCCTCATCAGCATAGGTGGGTTATCTTACACAAAGATCACACAAAGAGGTAACAAATCCATCTTAACATGCGTGAGAAAGGAGTTTAAAGAAAGAGAAATCAAGCAAGATGCTTTCACATGCGATGAGGACTATTCGGCAGACTGAGCGCGCTGGGCAGTACCTAGGGACTAAGTGAATGATAAGCCGTTAGGTTTTTCAAAACGAAGAGCAACGAGAGACACCCACAAGCCATCTGTAGAAGAAAACACCAGGTAAAGACTCATGAAAATAAAAATGGACACGGCCAGTAAAAGGGCCTCTTTTCAGCCAGCCACACGTGGGGAAGGTTATGAGTTATTCACAGTGTGGCTGTACCAGCCTCTCCTCAGCCACAGCCCTGAAGAGGAATGGCGGGTGCTAATTTCCAGTGTGGCTGCCCTTGCCTCCTTGCATGTTCTCTTGCACACATTTCCTAGCATTCTATCCTCACGAGTCACCACACTGGAAGACTGTTCAGGGCTGGGGCAAAGCCAATTCTAATCTCAGCTGATTTGTTGTGAGGCTTTTCTTCTCTTTCTTCCATTTTTAATGATAGAGAAACCTTACAAGGCATAACATCTTATTCTGGCAGCTTTCCTGTGATGAAAAGTTGTGGGTGTGTTTTTGCTGTTATGTGCCCTCCGCTCTACAGCCTTTTTGACCCTTGTTGCTGTTTTACCTCACAGCCTTCAACAGGATTTTCGTGCCAATTTTCTTACACATTTGGATCTGTTCCTTGATAATTTCCCGAGTTTTACAATGGTGGAGAAATGTAGCCAAGAGTCTTTGTTGGTGAGCCGCTCGCAGCATTTGTTACACATCAAGGTGAACTTGCCAAGGCTACTGTTCACATAACTTATTTAAAATGCAACAAACATGTATAGTTTCTGTTCTGAAATCTTTTAGAGTGGCTATTTCCTATGTTCCGTTTAATTCGCAAAAGTGTCACCAGTAAATGGCCTGGCTACAACAATTGGTTTTAGCATTTATTCATTTATTGTGTAGGGTAGGCAGGACACTGACCACAGTGATGTCTAGAGGTCAGAGGACTACCTTCAAGATTCTCTTCTCTCTCTCCATCAAGCGCATCCAGGGCTTCCACTCAGGTTGTTAAACTTAATGACAAGCTCCTTCACCCACCAAGCCATATCGCCAGCCTAAGTGGGGGGCACTTTTTTAAATTATTTTGTTTTATATATATTCATTTCAGTTTATTCACTTTGTATCCCAGCTGTAGCCCCTCCCTCATCCTCTCCCAATCCCACCCTCCCTCCCTCTTTTCCTATGCCCTCCCCCAGTCCAATGATAGGGGAGGTCCTCCTCCCAAGATGGGCAATTTTTAAGAATCCAATATAAAGATTGCAATAACCCTTGCTTGAATGGGTTTTTTTTTTCATAATTATAGTATGCAAAATATCAACTCCCAAGCTGAACCCTCTTTTCCCAGTCCCTTTCACACTTTCCACTGCCCAGTGGCTCCTATTTAACATGCTGTGGGTAGGAACAGGCTGCCCTCACTATTTCCCCAAAAGTGTTCATTATATTCACACTGTATTGTATCCCAAACCCATATTATAGAGTATATAAGTGATGAGTGTATGTATGTGCATTGTGCTGAAAAAAAAATGCTGTTTTATCAGCAAGAGAAAGTTCTCTCTCTCTCACTCTTTCTCTTGTTCACAAACAAAAACTCATAACCAGCCTACATAATACTAGCCAGAATTTATTGAGCATTTAGTATGCTTTCAGCTGCATGCTTGGCATTTCCCTTTAAATGACGGCAGAACTTTGCAGAGGAGTAAACAGAGTTTTGAAGAAGTTACATGAAGTGAATTAGAAACAGATATTTATTTGCTTTTAAAATATATCATATAATATATTTTCATCATATTCTTTGCCATCCCCAACTTCCCTCAGATCTCCCTCACCTCATGCCCCACCAACTTCATGTTCTTATGTTCTGTGTGTGTGTGTGTGTGTGTGTATGTGTGTGTGTGTGTGTGTGTGTGTGTGTGTGTATCAGGTTTCTAGCCCAAATCTGCTTGAGCTCATAGTTGCCCTTAGAACTCCTCTCCCAGCCTCTAAGAGGGACTGTTCAGGACAAGTCTGTAAGGCAGAAGTGCTGGACACACAGCCCTGGAGAGCTGTCTCCTCCAAGACACTGAGGAGTAAAACACACACGCCATCCTCCCTAGATTTTAATGGCTGCTGGGCATGGAAAGACGAACGAGACAAGGTTCCTCTTCCTCAGAAATCCTGCATCCAGGGAGGGAAGGCAGATGCACTGACCATATATAAAGAAACATAAGTGACACCGAGAAAGATATAAAATAAGCCTGCAGAGCAACAAGAAAAAAACCGGAGGGACAAATCCACAGCCCCGGATGACAGAGCTTCGACTGGCCGTGGCAGAGGGAAGGAAAGAACTGTGACTTGAGGGGACTCCATCAGCTTCCCTCAGAGGACAGGTGTTCACTAACCCCTTCACTGTGCCCTCACAGGCAGGGGCTTGGGCTTCCTCAGAAGTGCTTAGAATTGCTGTTGGCCCAACTCAGAGACCCCGGGCTCACTTTAGTTCATTCTGGCAGGCAAACAGGTCAAAAAGAAGCTGCTAGGAAGGGAACAAAGTATTTTTTCTTCCCACATCTAAGCTGATATCAAAGTTTACATTAGGAAAAAAAAATACGCTTTGAAACTAACCTCCTGTGTACTGATGTACGTTTAGCCTGTTTACTGACTAAATTAATGTGTTTTGAATGCTTTGAAAATGGCTGTGGGAATATTTCCTACTGCATTAGTAACTGGTATTTAAAAATATCTAGTAAGCGGAAGTAAGGGGTAAGGGTTAGTATTTGGAGACTTCAGTGGCAATTTAAAAATGAATACAGTTATTTTGTGCATTTCAATGCTTTGGGAACCCTGGTACTCTTATACCTGTTACTCGTTTCCATCTTTCTTTTTCCTAGTTCATGAAGTTGAGTCAGCAAGAAAAAAAAAATATTCAGATTAGACTTGTCATACAGGGGGGAAAGAATCTGAGTGTGTTGGGGTGGGTGGAGGGGGAAAAAGCAACTTTTTGTCAGAGTCTTTTGTATCTCAGCAGCTGGATTCATTGCTGCCATGGCAACAGACCACATGATGAGGTGTATTAGATTGCTGTGTTGAGCACAAGGGGAAGAATGAACACAGCTTTTTATTGAAGTTAAAGGTTACTTTGGAGTTTCTGCTGTGGAAGTGTGTAAGGTCCGGTAACCGCAGCATTCAGCAGATGTAGCACTTTTGCGGAAGAATTAGGGGCATGTTGGTGCGTTAAACTACAAAGCCAGGTAAGGCGCAATCGGAGCTTCCGATCTGAACTCTCTTACCTCTGAAGCATAACTTGCTGGTTGGAGTTTCACTGCTGGCTTCACTCCCACCCCACCCCCATTCCCACACAGGCACAGAAAAATTTTCTGCTGCCCCCTTCCCAAGTTCTCCACCTCCAATTTCACCTGTTTTAAACTGGAAAGTCTCATGTTCTAATGCGTTGTGAATTTGTAGTTTCTCTCTCTCTCTCTCTCTCTCTCTCTCTCTCTCTCGTGTGTGTGTGTGTGTGTGTGTGTGTGTGTGTGTGTGTGTGTGTGTGTGTGTAAGAAAGAAACAGAAAGGAAGCAGAAAGAGCTGTTAGTGTTTTCGGATCAGTGTAGGACTGAGTGAAGCATTTTCTTCTTTTGTCCTTGGCAAACGCTCTGCTCAGAGCCCTTGGTCCAAAGCTACTGTTTCCTGCTAATGTAAGCAGAAGCAGGTCCTCAGGCAGATTGCTCAGTGAACTCACCGTGTGCAGCCTTTTCTCGCCTCATACTGACTGCCAGCCACATCCAGCTTAGGAGTTCCATTTTACCAGCAGTTTTTACCGTGTGTATCAATTTACCTGCATTCTTTTTTTTTAATGTATTACAACTGTATGTGTACGACCAGAGAAATTCAAAGCAGAAGTAAATACTCTATAGATGAGTGCAAAATGAACCCTTGCTTGGAGATAGCTGCAAGAACCGAACGTAAACAATGCAATGTGGCTTGCTGCACCATGGAATCCCAGAGTGAGCACAGAAACCTCCTCCTGATTTGTCACCCTGGCAGCTTAC